TCTAAAGAGACAAACAAGAGCATTTAAACTTGGACACCACAACGAGAGACAACTATGATTCGTTAAAAATTTTAGCTAACCATTTCAAAAGGAAAAGATTAATAGTTGAAGAGATCAAAAGGTTCATGGTGGTCAAAACCCTCAGACGCAGATCGTGATTTGAATTTCGCCGGATCGCTGATATAATACAGACCAAATATGCATGCTACCCCAACACAGTGTTTTATGAATTACTACGAACGGGTAGTAAACGCCATCTGATGGTTCAGTTGCGATTGTCATGTAGATGTAGTTGCATCGTGGAGTTAGTTCGACAAGTCGATATTCTTATGGAGCTTGTTGAGTACAATACAGCAATATACTACAGATGGCGTTTACCACTCTGTTTGTAGTATTTCATTTGCAGATATAATCACATGATTTAGATATTTAGAAGGCTTGAACATACGCGTTTTTTTCTATACGAAACAGTAAGACCGAATAAAGAAATATTTGTGAAAAGGTTAGAGACTTATATTTAATTATTATATTTAAATGATTAATTTAAACATATGAAATAATTGAAAAGAGTATCTGATATTGTAAGATTTAAATACAAGGGTGGCTGATTGAACAAGATTAAGCAGTTAGAGTTAAACGTGTCGCACTCGTTTATCTGACATATTGAGGGTTAAAATCTGTTATGTTTTTTCTGTCGAGGGTGGAGGTAAGGAGTGCTATCTCTGTAGTGAAAAAGAGTCTATCAAATTACGTTAAACCAGGGTGGCGCCACAGTAGCAACAGGGCAAATTATTAGAATAGGTTAGAAAAATAAATAAGAACAGAATTACTTTGAACTAATTAAGTAGTTGAGGCTTGGTGTTAGGCTTTATTATGAAGTATTGTACTTTATTTCGACTGTGCGTACGTTATACTTTACAAGACACATAAAGTACGCAAAAATACTTTATTTAAGTCCTTAAGTAAACATCGTAATTTTGTAAGCGATTATTCGAAATTCGGAGAATTTTTAAATCAATAATATTGCACAGAAAAATGGCAAGCCATATTTACGGAACAACCTGACTTCCCAAATCTGTTCAAGGTAGTGTCACTTTTGCTGTCCGTTCCGGCCACTTCAGCATTTACAGAAAGAGTATTCTCTGTTATGAACGCAAAGTGGCGGGACGACAGGAATAAAGCTTCATTAAAACTAATTAAAAATGAACTTTTAGTTTACTTAAATCTTTGTTTGCCATGTTTAGAGGCTATTAATGTATTTAAGAGCGACAGCAATTTGTTACTGGCTGCTAGGTGTAACAAAAAATACGTTTTTAAAAACAAAAAATAAAATACTTTATTTTTATGCTGAGTACTTTTTTTTTAACCTTTTAGTCGAGAAATACTTTATGTAAAGCCTGAAAAGGTGGCAACTCCATTTGGTGTACTGGACTGTCACTAACTATTCTAGTCACTAAAAATATTAAATTTTCTAACTTCTCCAACATCCCCCCCATACGAGATAGTTCTCCTTACTTCTGCCCTCCATAGTTCTTCCGATATAAAATGCATAAAAATTATCAGCAAACAGAGAACATTTTGCTACTATTTTTATTTGTTTTTTTTTGTAGCATATTTATCGATTCCGGATTCCAATAACAATCACCAAACCATTTTTATTTTCACACAAGATTTACGGGGCATACGAGAGTTTAGCGCAATTTATCTTTTCTGGGAGATTACCCCTCTTCCGTGTCACTAACGTGCAAAAATTAGGCGGACGCTTTCGACGATGGGGTGCGAGGTATCTTTTTATGCCGTGTGAGTAACCGAATTGATTCGACGATTACCTGCAGACCTGCCAAACATATTGGTAGTTGCGGAAAAGAAAATTAGATATTCTCGTTTCCAACGTTCGTTCTGGATATACTTTATCTTTTATTCTCTACGGAAACATCACACATAAGGGAGTATTATAGGTACATACGCGAATCCTTATTAATAATTACATAATAAATATACATTAGGTACGCCTGTAATTCTAAAATAAGCAAATCCTCAGTTCCACGTAGCAATTTTTCAAAAGCAAATTACTTAGAACAGGCATCTTCCTGAATCCCTTTTTTCCTAACACTGAGCCCGGTTCTGGTGAGTTTGATGTTGTTCTCTCATTTTATCCCGTACAGTGAAAATCGAGTCTAAATCTACCAAATTATTTTTCGACTTTAGAGCAACAGTCTCGCAATAAATAGTCGGACGGTGTTTCAATTTTTATTTAAAGCTAACTCTAACTTGTCCTTGCTAGATGCTAATATTGTTCATATTCAACCTTCTGTCTTCTGTCCCTGTATGTCTTATCCTAAAGCTGTCCTGTTTTTAATAATATTAAACGCTTTACCGATATACAATTATCAAGTAATTAGTAGATGGAGTAGGTTATGAATTATACTTCATTTTGTTTCTGTAGCGATGTGCCCCTTCCAATGTCTTGGATGCGCGCTGACAAAATCATAGGTAGGGAGAAAAAAGCTCATTATATTCTCGACTCTTGTTCATTAAACATACTTTTTCATACAGTACCTGCCAATAGTTTTGATCAATCATGAATAGTAGCGCGAGACGAAAACAAGCGTTAAAGCCTTTAATATGTCTTCAAATATAAATAAACATCCCGTTGATATTTTCAGTAGTAAATAGTACCAATAACAGCACATTTGAGCAATGCGATTGTAGTGGATAATAAGGTCAATTTTTCCGTGCAGTATCGTACGGATTATAAGTTCTTCACCGGTTAAGAGTTTGGCCGAGAGTTGTCTCCTTTCTTTTCTGGCCTAGTGCTGTTCTTTTCTACATTGCGCCGGTCAAACTGAAGGTCACATCGCTACAGAAAGTAAACGAAGTATAATAGTAATGGAAGTTCATGCTTTCTCTTACATATATCAGTTGCAAAATAACAATGTAACATTTATAGAACATGAGTAAAACTAATAGCAATTTATTTACCTCCTTCTTTAAGGTTATATTCCTAAAAATATCAAAAATCCTATATACTAGTTCAGTCTTCCTGCATCCTGCTCTTAATAAATTCTAATGTATTTTTTTTTTTTTGATAGTTTGGAGAGAGAGAATACGGCAAACAAAAGCAAATTGATTTTGTTAACTTTTGCGTTAAGTACATCCTTTAGAGTTTAATTTTATGTTACAGTGGAAAATATTGAATGGAATAGATAATCCAAAGAACAAAGGTTTTGTGAAAGCCGAAAGTGAAAGGGAAAATTCCTTTACAAACCTACTTCTAATGAAATATTCATACATACGAAAGCGAAATCCGAAGTTCATAAGCTTAAAAAGCTCCCTTTCTAACGCAGGTAAACATCGGGAATTTAGAGAATTTTGACGTATATTAAATCTCTGAAGAATACCATTGGCCTTAAAACCCTTCCCCCCACAAAAACTTACTAAGTAAATCGTTGAATGGGACTCAACCGCGTTGAAAATTTAGATTAGTTTCAAACTTTGTACTATTAACACCTCATAAAAAGGCCAACAGTGACAATATTAAAGTGGAATTTGATGAATTCTTACAATCATTTTGAACGTAAAGTTTGGAGAATATATTACTTCCTTTCTTTACCTATAAATCTTTGCCACACGAGCGGTTCTGGGGCTTTAATATAAATTTTGATAACACTTTTCAACACGAATCCTTTTGGTTATAATGATAAGGGAAGAAAATACATACATTTGTCACTATTAAAAAAATTCGATCGGTTTTTATAAATAAACATTTACGACAAAATATTTTCAAAACTATCAAACAGCCACACAAAAAAAATGTTCTTTTAGATCTGGCCTATGTATACTATATGTTTTTAGTAACCTTAACACGTGAGGGTTTGAATATAACCTCAAAAAACACCCTAAATTCCAGTAAAACCGTTAATCATGACAATTCTATAACCAATCAACTCTTTCGCTTAATGTATAACATCATAACCTTTTAAGCCTTTACCCCTACGACTCTATAACCCCATAACCCTATATCCCCGCAATCAAGATACTGAAATAGTAGCGCTCAATCTAGTTACGGGTTTAAGGTTTAAAATCGTTTGGGATTATCATGATCAACGCGGTTATAGTGTATTTTGAAGTGGTTTTTGAGGTTATCTCCAAACCCTGACGTGCTGGAGTTAAATTGGTTTGGATTCAGTGACCCCAAATACATGCAGCATACATAGGCGAACCCCCAAGGACGAAATTGTTTTTTCATGTGTCTGTGTTATTTCTAATTTCTTTTTTAACTAATTTAGGATTATCAATATTGATGTGATTTTCATTATGAAAATATATGATGGGCAATACTGAGCTAAACTCCCTTCAAGCTTTGATAATGATAAAATTCCTTTTCTAGAAAAGTCGGGGATATATGAAATTGAATGTAAAGATTGTAGTATGAAATATGTTGAACAAACCAAGCGCTCAGTTCACGCTAGGCTCAAAGAGCATTTAACTCATGCCAAGTTTGGTAGAAATAAAAAATACAGTGTTGCTTATCCTTTTCTTACTAAAAATCGTAAGATAAATATTAACAATCTTAAATTTGTTAAGGAAATTAGAAATAATTATTTGTTTGAAAGTTCTGAAAAAAACTAATCAAACTTTTTTAACAGTGACAAAGGTCCTATTTCTAATTCACGGCTATCTAGTTTAATTTTGTTTTGCTGTTAAGTAGGAAGGTCCACTAAACATTACAATTACACTTCGAGTCATATTTCCCGGATTGTAACATAAGTTATTATCTAGTATTTAAACGTTCAACATGGTTTTAGATTTTAGTACTTTGGACAGTTAGCGTTTTGGCCTTGGGGTTATTTAGAGTGTTTTACAACACTTCCAAACATTTCTTGTCTTTTAGATTAGAAACAACAATGCCACAGTAATTTGTGGACTTTACAAGGATTATTCCTCCCTCTTCCTAATTAATTGACAAAATAATACAGAGAAGTATACAAATTTCTTACCTTAATCTTATTTTTCTTTGACCATATATATGTCTGGTAGCGGATCAGTCATTTACAAGATTGAGATCGTTATTGAGGCAACACTTCTTCTGATACTTGTAGTATTTCGTCTTTATCTTCTGAATCTGTAATTAATGAAGAAATAATATTTTAGTTACTGATGCTTTTGATTTTCCAAAAAAAGAAACACACTGTACTTCTCTGTAGGATCTCCTGAATTACAAATGTAATTTCATTAATACGCTTGAAATGGGAATGACAAAATCAGTTATTAATTAAAATAACATTTCCTGTCTATATTTGTACACTTATTACGTAAATATTAAATTGCAAACAAACGCTAAACAAATTATGAGGTTGATTGAATTATTGCCATAAAACACAAACGATTTGATTAAATTGAAAACCGAAGAAATAATGCACGCTTTCAGCAATAAGGCTAAATATGCATTGCAAATAATAATTGATATTAAATTAGTGCTTTCCAGTATCAAAGAATACAACGTAACAGTCCTATCTTTAATATCAGCATGCGATAATCTGTGTTGGTGTTTTTTTTGGAAAAACTAATTTTATATTATATTAGCTTAAAGGTATTAGTTATACATATATTAATATTGATCAATCTCACAAAAGCTGTCATAAAGAAATCCAAGTCAGTTTAAAAATAAAACTTTATGAAATGAATATATTTAATGAATCTTTATCACAAAAGGAAAAGTGGTTGACTATCATTAAATCCTTTTGTTTGCTTTGTGAATTTATTTATAATAATCAGTGAGAGATACACGACGAAAGGGAATTGAATAAGTTAAAACCAAGCCCAGAATAAGACCTTATAAAAAGAAAAAAGAAATCGTGACTTCTTTTATTTAAATTTTCTTATTTCTATTCAGATGTTGATTAAAATTATTGACAAAAACTGCCAAACAATTTGTCACAGTAAACCAAAGAAAATACCGATATTCTTTATTCTGGCGCAATAAGTGATTCCAAAAATGGAAATAAAGGCTTTCCGAATAATAAAGTAGGTTACCTATAGAAGAACTTTTAATTAATAATAAACGTAAGACAAAGTATTAGATTTGCCAATCAAATTATGAAGAATTGACGTTATATGCTTTGGACAAAGTAACTTACTTCTGAATGTAAGAATCAAAGAACACAAATACTTATAGCATTGGAGATAAAATCAAGAATTGTGTTAAGTACATTTATCCATAATTTAAGCATAAATAATGTTCAACTTTTGTATTCTAATAAAAACCATTAAAAATAATCTGCTGGACAACCAAGAAATAAAAAGTGCCCTTTATTTAATAAAAAAACTGTCTAAAGGACTTTAATGTGTGAAACTACCTTACGTTAATGTCGTATTTCATTTTATTAGTGTAACAAGTTCTTCCCCCCTGTCAGTCACTTTGAGTTTGAAACTGTTAACACCATTGCTTCTAGTGGTCGAAATTTGCTTAATCACCTTCTTTGTGTTAAAAATTGCTTGAAAAATTAAATTTAAAAGAATTGTTTGTAAAAAGGTATGCAACACATCGTACATTTCAGCATAAGAAATAGCTGATACTAACTTTCATTTACGTAATACTACTTTGCCCTGTTCTGACAGCACTCAGATAATTTTCTTTATATATAATATTAACGACAAAATATGCCCTTATGTAGGTAAGTAGATCTTTTCTTATTAAAAAATTGTGAAGCAATTTGTTGCATATTATTAAATTGGTCTTCAGTACATTTTACGTCCCATTGAACGAAGATTAATTATGTCATTTCTTGATTCGATTTATTCCTGTTATTACAAGTGACCTGTGTCCTGTGTCCTGTCGTTAAATGTATAGCTACATATGTAAATGTCGATGCGTCGTGACTCGCAGAGAAATGATAATGTAAGCAACAGGGGCTGACCGAGAAGACGCGTCGTCGTCGACGACGTCGTCCTCGATAGGCACATGCGATGGGGTTCAGCTCAGTAATAATATTGCGGCGTCGCGCTGTCTAGCGTCGTCGGGGCGCGTCCGTCCCTATTGCCTGCCTACGCGTCGCGTCGGTCGCGAGCGAGCGAGAGTGAGTTGAAGACGCCGCGCCGTCCCCACAGCATCAACATCATTTGTATAAGCGCATCTTTGTATATGTGACTGTGTAAAGATTAACTGTTGCATCTCTCTGCTAGTTGCGCACGCTGTGCAACAGCGACACACACGCGAACAGGTACCACACGAACAAAATGTAAATATCCCATTTTTTTTAATTCAAATTCTTATAAACTAAAACTCTTTCTGTGTTTGTACCTGTATTATACATTCGTGTATGCCTGTGTCTTTCCTTTTATTGAATGTCTTCGTTTTCTCTCATGTCTGTCGTGAGAATGTGTTTTTCTTTAGTCTTTCTATAAATGTTCGTATGTCTACTCTTTTGCTGTTTTTTTGTCGCAAGATGGATTATTATTAATGTTAAACAAGATGTGCTCGTCCCTTTCGTCCGAATTTTGTTACGAATTTTCTTGTATTAGTTTGTAAAAGTTGCGCAACATTTTAAAGACTTTATTTCCCTCTTTTAAAAGTTTCATAGCAATTCTGTCGTCGGTAAAATCCAAAACAATTTTTGAGGTCTTTGGAATAAAAGTTTTCGAGGATTAGGTAGTGTTCCTGATGTCGCCGATGAGAGTAAACAAAATAAAAAGTTTGAAAAATATTTATCAAGAAGTTTATACTTAATTAAATGATGGTCATATGATAAAAACGGTCCGAAATTTATTTGATAAGTATGTTCATGCCCCAATCGATCAATCAATCAATGTAAATCCCAAATTGATAGCTCCTTAAAAATTTATTTTACAAGACTCTATGATTAAATTAAATTGTTCTTTCAGCCAAAACCTTTAACTAGATGTATTAATTGAAAATGAAAATGAATTCTTTTCGTTTATAAGAAAAGCAAAATTATCTTATCGTTATTCCTTTCACTTGTAAAAACACCTCCCCTAGTAGATTTAGAACTGTATATGCTATTTTTTTGTTATTAATACCCTCACAATAAATTTTGATGTCGAGTAGTTACGCATGTTGGTGTAACAACAACTAATAGTTTAATAATTGAGCATACAATTATCGATCTTATTGGTTACCGAATTTTTATTGCGATGATTGATCTATTTACTTATTTAAAAAATACATAACAGAGTGAAATCCTGTTAATTGATAATGCACCCAATTATGAGTAGGTACAACTATATTAAAATGATCTCGTTGTACTTTTTGATTTGCTCCTATTCGTAATTCATTTTTACTGATCAGGACTGTATATTTGACATTTACGATCAAAATGATTAAATAAATAATAAATTTACAACTCATCCAACAGATAGTTTAAGTGAAATGACACTTTTCTTAAATTGGACTCAACAAGGTGTAAAATAAATCGACCATTACACAGTGATATAGATCAGTAATAAAACTAGATGGTCCCCAATTTCCTAAAGGATTTTCTGACGCATTTCATTCGGCCTAATGCAATGCAATTGGTTTACATCGCGAGTCGAAAATAAAGCGAGTGTGAAAATACATATTGTGACATCATTTTACATTCAACATTGGTGAATTTCGTTTTTTTTTTTTATTTGTTTGGGTTCCTAAAAAATGGTTTTGTTGGAATTAAATTGCTTTCGTGTCTATTCGGGTTTAAGTTCTCTAAAGAATAGTTCTTCAAGAACTTATATGTTTTACGCATTATCAAAAATGAAACAAACAATATACTGGTTTAAATTAGTCTAAGGTTGCAGATGGATTTTCAAATATTTGTGTTTAGCAATGGATTATATTATAGGATTTTAAAATTAATGAATTGAATCGCAAAAAATATTCAATCTTGTAATTCCATGATAATAACAACAAAAATGATAAACGTAATTATTCACCACCTCCACCAAAAAGTATATTGTACCTTCTGCTTTTTATGGTTATTTTAGGGTTAGTACTCTTTTATTTGTTATTACCTTTAGGAGTTTAATTAAATATTTCTAATCTATCCAAAATTGTACCTACGAGTACTTTCATAATTTCGATATACATGGTGTCGCTGTTGTTGATAAGATAGATGAGTTAAACCAGATAATCCTTTGTTCTACTTTACATAAGTGACATTTTCGGGGAAGACTAACCAATGCAAATAGCTTCGTAATCTGATTATTCAATTTTATATATCCCGCTTTCCGTATAACTATCCTTTTTGCAAGAAATTTCGCAATATTTTGTTAAATTCTTTCATTCTTTAGTACGAACATAAACGTTATTTCTTTACATTTGAGTAATTTCCAATTGACACTAAAATCTTAATGACTCTTCACCCTTCACTTTTACCTAGATAAAAAATACAATGCGTTACAATCTTTGGAGAACTTTAATCATGTGCGACTAGGGTTGTCAAATTAACTTGCCTAAATTCCGAGATAAAAATCAAAATCAACTTTGAAGATACAAACATCCGTCCTTATTTATCTTACATTCACAATAATTAGCCTGTTAAATTATATCTAGTTACATATCAATGGTTCTGGGAAACGCAATCATTTTTTGGTCCTTTGGTCCACCTAGCATTGTGATGAATTCGGAACAAGACAAATTGAAATTGATTCTAGTCTAGGGTTCTTCCTTTATAAGCTCCATGAGCAGACGGTTTCGTTATTTCGTTCGTAAATTGACTAAAAATTCGTTTACATTGCTGTGATTGGTATCTACAGATTGAATGAATAAAATTGCAATCTTCATGATATAAATTTTGTTGTTTGTTTTAACAACTTTTAAAATGTTGACATATAGACATCCCTTATGCGGAAAAATTCGGGGTAAAGTTTGACCGAATCAATTTAGATATGAATTCCAAAATTTTCTGGTTTTGAGGATTGCAGTGGATTTGTCAAAACGTGGTGGAGTAAAGACTAGAAATTCCAGCCCTATATACGACCAATTTCGTTTATTATTTATCCGCGAATGTCGTCTCTCTTTTGCAACAACCCCGAGCGACATCTGGCAATGGCGCACGCACTCACGGTGGGCAATCGATGACGTTTTTCACGAAAGCGACGCCGTCGTCGCGACGCATCCTGGTGGAGCCAGGATCAAACGAAAAGTACATCGCACATGCCTCCTTTACAGTTTTCCCACTGAGATACTCTCCCACTACAGTAACCTGTTACTCCTGTGGGTTAGTTGGCGTGTTACCGCGTGCGGGTTAAGGTTGCCATTGCGTTACCCCAATGTGGCACAGCTGGGGCCACTGGTTGCTGCCTGTTGCTTCACCCTACCGATTTAAATATTCATTTGTTATGTGAAGTGCGCCGAATGCAACCCGCTTACAACGGTGTATTAAAAAGTACCAGTTGCATAATTTAGCGTTAAATAAGAGGTTCAGGTTGCGGAAAACCCCTTGGTGGTATAATGAAATTTTAATTTTAATTAACATATTAAACATATTGCATACGAAATTTAAAAACATTTTGGCCTTTGGAATTAGTTTATGCAGAATTTGACTAAAATGTGACAGTATTAAAATTACTTCCAAAGAATTTTGAAAATAGCAAACAGATTTAATTGAAAATCGGTCAAATAAGATTAATTTGTAAGCCACTCTGTAGTTATTGTACATTAATTATCGTCAATTTATTAATTAATTTATTCAATCTCGGAACGGAATGCAATTTAAGAAACCTTATTTGTCAAAGACCCTTAATATTTTTTGTCACTAAATTTCAGTAGATTTCTGTATATTAATATTTTTTCATATTAAAGCTTTTTTTTTAAATATTTAATAACTAATACAGTCGTTTCAGTTTAATTTTGCCGTTTGTGGATTATAAAATCAGAATCGTAAATCTTTTACTTTATTATTTATTAGGATNTTTTTTAATTAGATTATGTACATTAGAATTAGTTTTAATCACATTTTTAAAATTTATATTAAATAAAATGCCACTGTAATTTATTTGAGATTCATGAAGAAAAGGTAGTACCTATAACAATAAAAGAGAGACACACATTACAAACTGTTTAAATATAGAGAAAAATTCACCAATTTTATGAAGTACCAGCAGTGTTTGTTACCTGCGACTAGTGGAGAAAGATAAGGGTATCTTTCTCTTCCTTGAGGTAAGTATACGGGTTACTACATTTATTGTTCCAATAATAAATTAAACGTAAAAGATTTACAGTTTTGACTTTATAATCCAAAACCGACAAAATTAAACTGAAGTAACCAACAGCTTAGCTAGACCTTTGAATAGTGTCAGTATTCCTGAAATAATTAAAAAAAAAAGCATCAGGTTCGGTTTGTTAGAGAACAAGTTAGCGGCTAAAAGTGGAAGTAAACTTGAGTTTCATGGTGACAGTTGTTAAGATTGATGTAAACCGGAAGGGCCCGTTTTTGTGGGAACTACCTGATGATCGCTGGAACGGTGCCAGTACATCAACATATTATGTTCCCAGCGATTCTTCGTTGAGATAATTAAGATTTAAAGTAAAGTAATGAAACCGTAAAAAACAGATTTAAAAACATTGCGTCGCATATAAAGTATTAAAAAATTTTTACTCAGATTAGCGAAATGGCTACTAAAAATATTAAAGCGGGGAACACCAGCGAAACAATTACGCTTATTAAAAACATTCACGGTTCCACTGTTTCTACGGTAAAAATATTAGCAAAAAGTTTCCAAAACTGCTTTGTCTAATTAGGAGTAGGTGTGGGTGGGACACAAGCCGGGAAAACCAGGGATTATCAGGGAATTTAATGCAACCGAGAAATATCACGAAAGTAACGAGGAATTTTAAAAAAAAATGAATTCTAACATTTCAAAATAAATCTTTAAAATCATTAGTAAATCACAATAAAAAAAATCAGAAAAGAATATAATAAATTGTACTGGAAAACATGGAATTACCAGGGTTTCTTTGTAACCACTGTGAATTTTTTTATTTCAAAAATTATTTTGCTCATAAACTTATGAAACTGTCCTATTAAAACTGCTCGTAATATAGAATATTGCTTAAATGTTTAAGATGTAGTAGCAGTTTAGAAACTAATTTTCATTTTAAGTGGGTAGCAACATTTAATAAAGCTTGTAAAACAGACACTCACTAATTAGTTAAACTCTCATTTGTAGCATACATACCAAATACACCATTTTATATAGTATCACAATAACCTTTGAACTTAACCTTAATATTAATGAGTCACAAGCATATTTCTGTGTGTGAGTATGAATCAACAACCAACTAACATTTTAAACTATAACAATTTAATGTAAAACATTTCATATAAATCATTTTAAAATATTTTTAAAATTAGTTCCCGATTTTGATTTACTATTTCGATCGATATTTATTTTAAAACTGTTGCACAATTGCAAAAATTTAATGGATATCAGAAAGCGTTAGAATGTGTGCAACTAAACCCAGTCACTGTTTTTCAATTGTTTTCTTCAACCTCGAAAACGTCAAAATTGCTGATTTTTAATTAAAGATCCTCGTTCCTGAATATGGAAAGAAGACGTAAGAAAAGGCATCTTCTATTTAAACGTCAGCTAGTTTCAAAATAATGCACCACCGACTAACCTGTTTCTATTTAAAATTCAGGCCCTTAAGATTACCCTGCTGACTCAGGAAACTTAACATTTCGCATAAAAGTTCCCCGTATAACGCTACATTATCCACTATAAAATGAATATTTTTATGCGTCCATTTCCAAAATTATTCGCTAAAGATGTAAAGTGGAATTTTGCGATATAATCAAATTTCACACGGACGAAATCACCTCAAAAGCTAGTTAAAACGCGAACATAAACTGTATATGAAGTCATCACAGTTTTATCGAATTACTTAAGATAATATTAAAAAATAAATTTCACACTAGGTCATACTTACGAAATTCAATAATAAACGCTCTAGATTTCACTCTTTCGTTTGTTATAGGTATATATAAATCTACCTGTTCATGAATATTAAAACTTATATAATTTTCCAAATAAAAATATAAATTTCTTTCTCAACGTATGTATTTGTACTTACATTCTGTCATGTAGGTCATCATCCTCATAAGGGCGTCAATCCTAAGACTGGTTGGACACGTACCTAAACTCTTTCCTATCCTGAGCTAAACTTCTCATTTCCCTAAAACTAGAACAACCCACATCCTTAACTATTTGCGAACAGTAATCTAATCTAGGTCTACCTCTACCCCTCCTAACTCCCGTTTCTGCCTCTAAGATGTCTCTGACTAGACCTTCATGCCTAAGAAGGTGTCCTACCAACCTATCTCGCCTATTTCTTATTGACTTCCATAGAGTCCTCTGTTCTCCTATTCTTTCCAATACCTCTTCATTTCTAACCTTTTCTACCCACGATATCCTCATCATCCGCCTATAACACCACATTTCGAACGCTTCTAACCTTTTCTTTTCCGCCGCTCCCACTGTCCATGTTTCGCACCCGTACAACGCCGTGCTCCAAACATACACCTTTAACAACCTTTTTCGAATTTCTAAATTAACCGTTCGCGAGCATAGAAGTGACTTCTTTTTATTAAAGGCGACACGACCCTGCGCTATCCTCTGCTTTATATCCCTACTACTCCTTCCATCCTGACTTATCTGACTTTCTAGGTATCTAAAATCAGCCACTTCTTATAATTTTTCGTCTCATATCTTTATATTCGCCCTTTCCCTACTTTTTCTTCCCTTGCATACCAGTATTTTAGTTTTACTTTTATTTATTTTCATACAGTACTGAGCTGTCAGTTGGTACACTTCCACAAATACTTGAAAGAAGAATGTTGTTTTAACACACTCGAGACAACGATTTTCACTTTTAATATTAAAACACAATAAAATCCCCGCGATATAAAACGAACGACTGCCATACAACACAATATTTCAATTAATTGTTCGTGAGGCCTCTGGCGATGTTCTTCTACTATCTTATTCGAACGATCTTAGATGACAGCTTTTTTTTGTAACGATTTGAAAGAAATTCAGAGATAACGATGTGGTTTTTGTATCATATGGCATTGACTTTATATATTATAAAAAAATGTTATTAAGTAAAATTTGAGGCACATATACAGTAACAAATGTTTCATCATTCCGGAAAGTGTTTTTTATTTCCTGAATTTGTTTTCGTGAAATATTGGATACACAGGGAGAATAAAGATAAATCTATTTAGTATTCCTACACACACAGCAGAAATATGTATTGTAGTTTGTTATTTCAAACGAAAATAAGTTTATTGCTGAATGAACTGTTTTGGTCCACGTATATTCCAGGAATAAACCTCAAAAAAAAAAATTAGCAGGAAGATAGAGAAAAAGAGGGAATAGATTGTCTAGAAAAAAGAAAGCAATTTTATTAGCCAAGGTGAAATAGGTAATATCACCTTAACAGGTCTGTTATAAGACATATGATGATAAATTGGTTAACTTTACAGAAACAGGAATTTTTGGGAAACTGGCAATTTTGTTATTAAGCTTTGCTAAGTATTTTCACAAAAATTAAAAGCATCTTTGACCCGCCAATTGAATTCGTTTTTTGTAGTAAATCGTTTACAATCCGAAAATCTTTCTACATTTCATAGTCCAATTAAAAAGTGTTTAAAATCGTCATATATATAAATTTACATAAACATCGACAGGAATGTATTTTCGCTACATCATTACTTCTCGATATCGAAGTAAATGATCGAAAAACTCATTTTAGCGACGGGGCACTCTGATGAGCTGTCGCTCAATGCCTAAGCAACATTGTTGGTCCTCGTCCGATGAATATTCATTCGGTTTTGTTGAAAGCAGCACGTTGTTGCGCTGAAAGCTTTTTCATTGATTCCGGACGAGAAAGCGTTACAAACGATATAAGCCAGCAGGTACATGTCATATCTACAACTAAATTGCATTTAAAGTAGGGAATTTCAGTTCCAGAAAATTCATCGTAAACATCCAAATACAATACATTAAAATTCAACGAAAAAACCAAATCTCAATAAATGGGGAACAAATGAACAGAAATTCAGAAAGTAGGGAACTGTCTTCTTGGGAAGTCTTTAGGAAATGCGTTTTAATTACTACTAGCAATATCTACAAACATTCATATATCGATTCAGATAAATCGTAATTTAAATTGTAATTGTTAGAAAGAAGCGGCGAATGAGTGTCGAAAACTTCGGATTGAAGGCAGAATAATCCAACAGGCAGGCAACCACCAGCGTCCTTCTACTTCCCTTAGTTCGTCCGCCGATCGTGTTGAAACAGAAGATTGAGTAGACAGCGATAGCATATCAAGAAGAAACTCGTGAGTGCGAGAGTCATTTATCGCGCCGTGGTCTGGAAAAATTGCGCCTGACAGAATGAGACATGGCGCAGTTGCCGGCGCCGCGCCTGCGCCACTACAGGTCCGAAAGCTCAGCTACACCACGCTTCGTCCGCAGCAGCTTTCAAAGCATGACCATCGGCACCAGCAGCGCCACCTGCGCAACCGCTTACAAGCCAACGCACTGCCGCCGGTACTGCAACAGTTTCACCAATACAAGCCCATCATCAGCCTCCTCGCGGCGTCATCTATTGCATGATAGACCCATGATACATGATCCAATTTACATATATTATAGAAATAAGGGCTTTTGCGGCCGTATTTATTAGAACTTTTCATTTCTTCTCAGTCTCAATCCCTTCTAACCCTTCCACTATGGTTTTTCTTTGAAGAGAGCTTTCAAGATTTACTATAAACTTTACAAATCAAGTAGCTGATATTAGTCAAAATTCTCTTCAAACATAAACTAGCAATAACAAGAATGTGTACAACACTTCTATGCAGCACGCTAAACAAACTACTTCAGCAAGTTCATCGCATATGCACAGCAATTTGCCAATATTTTTTGAGTTTCAATACCTACTATGCATTTCTAATTTGAGTATTTTCTTTTAGGACGATGACAGCGATCTGTTTCGTCTGCAACCTTCCGATCCTCTCCCATCAAGTGGGTTTAGTATGGCAGGGGGGCAATGGCTGGGACGACCTGGTGCGCGAACAACTGGAAGAATCAACCATTCGTCAACGACTGGGAGGTCGAAGAGATTCATCAACCCAGATATGCAGCATATCACCACCGACGGATTTACAAGAAGCGTCACCACCAGTAGGAAGCACCACTCGCAGGAGACGTTCCTCGTTAGCTCAACTTACAGATATTCTAAGGGAATGGGGTGGTTCTACAAAGATGCGTCAGAAAGCACCCCTCAACAGACGAGAGACTCTGGCAGATCTTGCCCGAAGTTTACCATGGGGCAGACAATCCACCACCACCGAAACAGCAGGTCCTACACCTAGCATAAGCACCAGAAAACGTCGCGAATCTAGCGCTGACTCTGGCATAAAAAGCTTAGGTTCGAAATTTCGCCGAGACTCTCATACTACCGCCATATCCGACTTCCGTTCGGAAGTTGCCAAATTATGGGGTCGTAGAGAGTCTACTGCTACCAATACCATAATGACACCTGCCACAACCACCACTACAACTATTGTTACTACCCGGAGAGATTCGGGAGAATCAGGAGGAGGAGGACGTCGAGACTCCATCACACATTCGAGAGGGGCATCCAGAAGAGGTTCGGGCGAGAGTTCAGGCAGAAGTGGACGCCGAGATTCTGCTTCCACTAATTACACTCCACCACCTCCTAAAATCGTTGCCACCCATAAAAAACATAAAGAATCTAAACCGATGACCGAATCTGTTACATATTACAGACAAGATCAGAGACCGTCTACTTCTTCCACGGCTTCCGATTCTGGACAATGCTCCGGCACAAGTAAAACGGATGTCCTCCTGCCAGTTGCAAAATCGGAACTTGTATCTCCTCGTCAAGAGAGATCACCATCTGCACCAGCTGAACTCCAAGTCACCCCCACCATTATCACTTCCAGCGTAACCCCTCCCGCTACATCCCCCACTGTACAAGCCACTACTCCTACTCACCCCTTGCTTTCCACGAGGAGAGACTCAACAACTCAGTGTGGCAGAATGTCCCGCAGAGACTCTCGGAACCACGCCAGCCCTGAAAGATCATCCATAAGATTGTCTCGTCTTCAGCGCCAGAGCACCACCTACGATGAAAGTTGTCTTCCAGGAGCCACGAGCAGAAGAGGTTCGCAACCTGGAGCGCTCAGCCCAGACGTAGATCCTGAAAGCGGTCGGAAAGCTAGAAGGGACAGTCTTAGCCCAGATTCAGCTTCCAGAAGTCGAAGAGATTCCAGGTCACATCTGAGTCCGGACCGTTCGGGCGAAAGGGAACTCAGCCCGAGACGTCATCGACGAGGACGATTGAGAAGACAATCAACCAGTGTGGCAGGAAGACGCAGAAGTCACCGGTCACCCGATTCTTCCAGTTGTTCCTCCAGAGATCCCAGCCCTTGTAACAAAAGCGTGGTGCCGCCTCCACCTGAACCGTATCGCCCAACTATTCGAAGACAATCCACCACTGAAGAAATACTGATCGCACGAGGTTTTCGTCGCCAGTCGACCACGGAAGAGATGATCCGCTGCAGAAATTTCAGAAGACAAAGTTCCCAGAGCGACGACTGCACCCGGCATCGAGGACGACGTGATTCCGCCACCCAAATATTGGACGGGACGGTTGCGTCCATGACTGTTGAGACTACAAGTACGTTCTTTGATTCAAGTACGCAAACAGGTAGGTTTTCTTTTGATTTTGGGTTTGATGTTAACACAAACAGTTGTTTAATCGTCGCCTGTTTCGGGGATATCTCGCACCCCAATTTCCATTCCAAGGGTTCAACGGAAAACCCCTGATGACATCATGCATGTAAAGCTTTTAAGTGTTCCCAGTTGTTTTTACTAAAGAATGGAAAAAACTTCAAATTGTGTTGTTTAATTATTAATTAAATTTTACGTTTTAATTTTAAGGACAGCGTACCATTATGGTCTTTGTAACGATATTAAAGAAAAGGGGGTACTAAAACCACCAATAACATACCACCTTAGCAACATTTAAGGGTGGCACAGTTAAGTAAATTTCTACATTCAACATTAACGTACAAAGTTACTATGAGACATCATAAATTATTTTTATTACTCTACGGTCAAAAGCCGGAAAAGTTTTGAAAATAAAAAAATATATCTTCCATAATTTGGGGCGCTTTCGTTCGCGCGCAAAGGGCGTTTTTATTTCGAAAACCCGTTTCCTTTACAAAATGTCATCACCACCAAGTTTTAATTAGAACCGAATAAATCCATTACAGAAGAACATTTATGAAGCTGAACACAACAAAAGGTTTTTATGACTTTCGAAGTAACGCCATCATTAATGGCTAATTTTATTATTGCGTAAAAGTCGCTAATGTAATGTACATGTTTACATAAAAATTTACGAGACGCATATTCAAAAAATGTACTATTGAATATCCATCAGGTTATGATATACGCGAAAAAATGCAACAGTGTGGTTGATGCAACTCAACGACATTGTTAAAACAATGATTTCAACAACGATAAGAATGCCGGTTTATTGTATCGAAAAAGAAAAGAAAAATATGACGATCGATGTTGAAGAGATCATGGGAAACTTTACGATTAGACGTATAAAGATCTGGCTTAATGTCGATAAATTCAGAAAGCAAACGGAGTTTCTAAACTCATGTAGATATCTAACCAATTCTGTTCTTGTTCTTTTTTCTATATATCCAATTTCGACTTTGTTTTATCACCATGCTTGATTGTCTGATCCACATTAGCCAGTGATTACTCACCTTTTCTAACTCTTGAACTTCTATCCTGAAACTCAATCACTTTTCCTCGTAACATAACGAATCATACTTTAGTCCATCATTTAGTAAGTACCTTTTGCATAACAGATATTATAGCATATCCATAACGGTGCCATTTATCCTTATATATCCGGCGCTATCTTGGCATTTTACTGCCCATACAGATTTTACAAGATATGAATATCAGTTTCATCCCAATCCACTTTACCTCCCTTTGCCTCTCATCGTCACTCACGTATTCCACCAGTAGCCTTTTCATAGACCATAATATGCATAGGTATGTGTAGTTTGCCATTTATTAATGGTCTCTCTTGGGTTATGAAAGAGACCCTTGTCCAGCAAATGTGCAAGTTCCGATAACATTTCGAAGCCGATCTTCATGTCTAACGCGATGCACATTTTCTAAAGGATCCCTCGCACTGTAATGGTTAGAAACATTTCAAGTGTTTGATACACTTCAATCTATTGAATATCAAAGTAGCATATCCTATTTACTATGGAAAGGGATAAACAATAATCATCTCGGAATGCGGGTAGATTTTTAGAACAATCAGTAAGAGTTATTATATCAAATTAAAAGTAATTGCAGAGGTTACATTACTATTTTCATTCGCTTTAGAAAGCTGGTGAAGAAAAGATATTCATAATCTCAAGTATCTGAATATCCGAATAACTATATCCTCAAACACCTTTGAAATGAAAATAAATTATATAGTTCAATGTAGTCCCCAAGTTCCAATTGGTGAAGCCAAGGAAAGTTATTGTCAGTTATTGTAGAGGTTAGCTGCAATCAAGTGAAAATGTTTTGCCCTGGCACATTAATCTTGTTACAGGAAACCTGTCTTACCATTTTCACTTTGAGTTACCTGAGTAAGTCTCATGGGACTCGTTAGAGTGAACTGACAAAAGAGTTAATAGATTACACTCCGGGCGTAGTGAAAACCTTATTTTATAAAAGGTAAATGTTTAGGCAATCAATTACTCGTTTGTCATTAGATTGCATTCTAATTCTTCATAAAAGATAGACAAATAGACCCACGATAACTGTAGTGTTTATTAGCCGACACAAGAAGGTTCTAACTAGCTTTCTTCCCGTCCTTATGGCAACTTATGTTCAGAGTCCAATTTTCCACCCATCTACCATATATGACTAACACCAATATCTTCAGCTTCTTCTTTATGGTTTCACATAACCTAACATGCAGAGTACATATCTTAGGATACGAGATCTATTTTTGATTGTGTTCAGGAGTCCTGGGATCGCGATTGTCCTTGAGGATCTTAGTGTAGCTGTAAAAACGCAGTTGTCCATTTAACAGGTCGCATTGATATGACAATTATGATGATGATGATGATGATAATCCTGGAGATCGTGTGTAAACAGAATGAGCGTTAGTGTTGTGTTGAGTTGGCGACCCGTGCGCGTCGTGGCGTCGTCCTCGGCGTCGCGTCGGTCGCCCGCTCCTGCTCCTGGCCCGTTGCCGTCCGACGTCGTCGACGTAGTAGGAATATTCCTGTTTGATCGATCGGGGGTGTAACGGCGCGATTTAGAATCAGTGGCATCGCGAACTCCAAGACACGTGCACGTCGACGTTTCAGGCACTTTTAAGTGCATCACCTTCCCTTATTATTATTCATCCATAAGTTTCAGCCACTCACCGGTCAAAACAGACTAAAGAAACAAGTGGATTGTTGTACCAGTTACTCTTCCCCTTGTTTTTCTCACTCTCTTATTCTCTCTGTTCTGGAATATAGACTGCTATAGATACAATAGATAAAACAATACTAAATGTAGTAAGAGATATTGTTAGTTGTGTTCGCACCATATCGTGCAGAAACGTCAGATTTCCCAGATCATCTGTTGCTGCTCCATCCATGTTTGTTTATGTGCTAAACGAACCGCTCTAACAACTGGTCTGTGGCATGACTTGATTCAGGTAAAATACGCCATCTGCTTCCAAATAATAAAAAAACAATAATGATTCGCTTTTGTTTTGGATGCTTTCTGTTGCTGATTAATTATAATTTTTTTGTTACGGTTCTGTTGCCACCAATTCGTTTTCAATTCTCAAGCACATTCGTCAAATTGCATGTTGTGATTGATGATGTATATTTATCATAAGCTTGTTATCTAGGAATAGGTATTCCACTATTTGTCTTCTATAATATAGGTGTCTCAACACGTCGAAATCCGTTATTGTCTTTTTTTTCTTTTTACTTTCTCGTCAATTCTCGCAGATATAAACGTTTGACTTATATGATTATCTATTATTAACAACTTTGAGTGACAGAAAAAAGAAAAAGTAGAAAGTAGCAAAGAGAAAAGTGAGAAGAAATAACCGAAACAATGTAGACTCATGTAAAAGATTGCAAATCAAATTTTAATTAAGAAATATAGGGATTAGGTTAAATGTTTACTGAACAAAAATGCATGATTTGGCGACCTTGTGGATTATGCTTTTTCTTCCACGTTTATCTGAAAGTATCAGATGTTTCATTGAAAACTCTTAAACTAACAGAACTCTCAAAAGCGTAACACTCGTCAAAAGCTTTAAATTATTTTATTGGACATAAATTCTTGTATTATTTATGTGAAATAATGGTTCAAGGTATTTTTCAAAAGTACAGTATATACAGTAGAATATGTTCGGTTCTCAATTAGCCTATACTGTATATCTACATGAAATCAGTAAATTTCTAGAAATATAAAATGCGCTCCGTCGGCTATTTAATGATGCCATAAGCAGAATGATTTGTACTTTGAGCTGCAATCCTTTCAGAATATCCTTTCGAAATTTTCAGAGAATGTAACACATTTATTGTGAAATTGTGGCGATTTTTGCCCCTTCTCCGTAGAACGTCTGAGAATTTTTTTTTTAAGGTTTTGGTATACTTAAAGAGATTCAAAATATCGAGCTTATCAGCTACGACATGGAAAGAAAAGTAGCTGTCAGATGCAGTATGAAAAACGTCAAAGTGTCTTAAGAGTAATTCTTATTTTGGGCCACAACAAAACGTGTTCTGTCAAGCAAAATCTTTTATAATAATGAATACATAACTGCCTTGTTTGAATACAATTTTCAATTCTTAAAACCAAAATGTTGCACACAATATTATCAACGAGTAAAGATAAAAGTGAAAAAAGATATTAACTGTTGTGTTTTTAGTAACCAAATATTAAGATTCGGTTTCTGTTTACGTGACAAGTGGATATAATAATGGAATCAAGAAAACCACTATATATTCATAAACTTTTTCGATAGCACATGTCACCTCACAGAAGCTTCAGATCAGAATTTCTTAGAAACTAAGTTATATTTTTTTAAGAAACTCTGATCAAATGATACTCCTCTGCAGCGTGAGGTGGAACAAAGTTTGTAAACATACAGCGGTTTTCTTAATTCTATTTCATTTTTAAAACATCTATTTTTAAAGAGAATATCAATAAATTTGTATTAAAATTACCACTATAGATAATCTCAAATTAATGAAAAAAAATTGTTGCTGCTGTCATGCCCCCGCCGAGAATCGAACCTGGGCGACAAGAGCAACAATGACAATTTTACGTCTTACTACATAGATCTAAGAACCTTAAATTAAAGAGACAAAATTGTTGCTACTGTCAATTGTTCTAAAATTCTCAATAAATTTGGAAATGATTCTACAAATACAATATTACTTCTTCCTTGAACGAAAATGAGCTCGTAACAGCTGTAGCATTTGGTAAATGTTAGTTACGACTGTTGGCAACATTGCTGAAAGAGGTTTTTAAAAACTTTTAAAACGTGTTTATAGTTTCAAACCGCAAATGAGCCACTGAAATTTTTATTTAACGATGTACTTTATCTCGTTTTCTCTCGCACTGAGATATTCACTTTGCTAGAATCTACTGAAATATTTATTTTTG